ACAATATACGCCCTAATGATTGAAATATGTTTAATTTTTAATGAGGCTCCTTCGATATCGTATTGAAATATCGGCAGACGTTAATTAGGCTCACTATACAGTTTAGGTGATAATGTGTCTTGGATCCAGGCTGAAGGCTGCAGGGATGGACCGTGCGAAACTTAAACCTCATGTTTACAATTCGCTCCACTTGAGACCATACACGCAGCTAGTTAACTGACATTTTAATTCACATTTCGACAAATTTAGTCAAAACGCTAAGTATACTTCGAGAATCAGATAACAAAACAGTACATTAATTTTTCAATATAGATCGTGACTATTCAGGACATAGATGTATTTTCAAAGTAGATCATCCTGCAACGTTAGTATGTCCATATTTAACTGACATCCTATACAATTGTTACTTTACGTTTAATAATGGAATGAACTAATCTTTTCAAGACAAACAACTATTTATTTCAGTCTTGGAATATATGTTAAATACGCAAGAACTGTTCTTGTTGTCCACACAATAAAAATATTTTTATTGGAGCAAAGTTAAACTATAGTTAGAACAAAGAGTTGTTTTATTACCCACTTCATGATATCTGGCGTTATCTGTAAAGTCCTAAGGCGTTAGATACTCTAATTCATTTCACTAATTTTTGAAGTCATGAATTCTAAAATATGAAGTGCACAACCATAGTTTCTAGTAATCAATAATGTTGCCCAAGGGTAATTTATGACTTGAAATAACCCATCGAAAATTTTATGAATATCAAGAAGATCCGTTAGTCATCAGTCATCACCAAATGCACAGGTGAAACTACATTGAATTATTAAAAACACGGCATATCGTATTTTTCAAATAATATGTACTTTACTTTAAAAGAAAGGTGTTGTTGTTGTGTAATTAAGCGCACCTGAGCGTAAAATAAAAGAAAGGTCATTATACTGGCTTGCACGAGAAGGATAGCATAGTTATTATTAATAATAAAACGACAAAAGATGAAGGCATAAACCTATTAAAATGAAATGAAATGGGGTTTAAACTAACGCCCTACTGTTCTGCTCTTACTGGGCTAATAAGATGAACTTTCTCGGCCAAACGCAGGAATCGAACACGGGACTTCCGTCATACTCACTGCGTCACATAACCCCATTAAAAACCAAAGTAATTTTAAATGGGTTTCAATTTATATTAATGATAGATATGAATAATCTTTAAACCAGAATTGTATTTGATAAATATACTTTTTGATTGTGTATAGTCTAAAACTTTATATTTAACCTTTATACTGACATGTTTGGGCATTGAATAAAAAAGTGAGAAAAGGGTTGTTACATGAAATCAAGACATAGCTGTAACAAAATGGAATCGTAGTCTATACCATGGCCCTGAGATTGTCTTAGTGGGTGTACACTTCGGCTTCTGAATTCCAAGTTCAAAATATCGCTTCAGTTAGCTAGCTATAAGTAGTGACGGGTTTCGTACAGGGGATATGGCATGTTGTTTTCCCCTTGTATTGTAATGATTCTAGAGGGATCATTGAATACATGTACAGTAACTAATAATTGAAACTGTAAACCAATGTATTTTGCTCCAACGCAGGTGTTTACGTAAGTAGCACGGAGAACATTTCCAGGGAAGAAGTTGAATTATAGCTCTTTTAAGAGAATATTCTTAGATAATTACCACACAGGTGAACGGAAATAATCACAATCATCTTCCATCTTGACATGTATTTTAATAAATGTAAATTACATAGTTAATGGCACCAGTGGATATATTTTATGGAAATAATTTGAAGCATTTAAATATTATACACGAAGTATTCAATCATTGATGCTGTATAGAGGTTGTTCTAAGATATTTATAAAAAAAAAATCCATATCATTACATTATGTCTAGATGTTCATCTACTACAATAGAATCTATTGATTATTTCAGAAACCATTTCAAATAAAATATGATTTCTTAGCTATAAAAGGTGAAATTACATAGTTACTGAGATCTATATGGTATACAGTTAACGAACATAATGTAATGTCGGGTAGTTATTAAATAATTGGAATCACGAAGCTACCTTATTTACGCCGGCCATTTTTTCTTTCTTTAATTAAGATTCGGTTTATTTAACTGCCACACCCAGCCTTATGGCCTTAGCGTCTTCGCGATCTCTGCAAAAATAATAAATGCAGGAGACACGCACGACACATGACAGCTAATTATAAACGTACTCAAGAGACAAAACACGTACATTGTAAGTCAAATTACCAACGTTTTAACGAATTGTGAGGATTGTCAAGTAACATTGCCACGATCAACAGTCTCCGTGATCAATTCATTATCTAAGCCATCCGATGCTCTAGAGAGATGGTTATGGACTTGGCATATGTATAAATGTCTAAATAATAATTTATATCAGATTTGAAGCGAGAACAATGACCCGCATTAGACAGATTTAGTCCTTACATGTATCTTTAAAGTGTGTATGAAAATACGACAACCTGATAATTATATATTATCATACGAAACTATGGGAAAAGTATAATCCATATAATTCTCTGTGATATTATTACTGATATTGAATATCTTCACAATATATTATAGCTCGAAATGGTCGCCTATTTCTACAAAACGTCTGACGTATGGCGGTCATTTAGCGCAAACTGAAATAATACTCTATAGAGAGTGGGGTTTTATATAGGAGTGGGTTTAGTCTGTTTTCAGTTCACTCCATTCAGAAATATTAATTAAAATATATTATATAATAATGATAATACGCAGTTGTTATATTAAAAAAAAAAAAACCCTTGACTATTTTTGATACGCCTGATTAATTTTATAGCTCAATATCTTGTAATTTTGTTTCAGTCAGCTATCCAGTCTGATGAAACACATATTCTATTTCGATTCTCTTTTTGTAGTTCAACTTTCGCTTTATTAGTCTTCATGACTGTAGGATCTGTTCAGTGAATTCAAGCTTTATTCCCGCTTTCCATCTAGGGTAATATCGCAGACAAGTGTCTCCTTGAACACTTGCCGGAAAAACTAGTCTAAAATGGAACAGCGAGTAGGAATTTTATCGCCTCCATTATCTTGGTTAAAAGCGCAATGGTGCCCTTTGAGATACATTTTCTTACGGTACCATCCCTATATCATATCTGCAGGTGCCACCCGGCCCACGTCACCATCTTAGCTTCGATCACCTGAGGGCTGATTCATATGTACATGTATCTATTTATATAGTCTATTTGCACCAGTGAAAAACAAGACACTTCTATATATCGATGACTGAGTGTGCAAATGTTACATATCCAGTTTTGGTCAAAATTATGTTTTGACCTTTTTAAGTAGCATAAACATGCGCCCTTCTACTGTGTAAATGCTGTTAGTCCAGATTAATTAGAGTATCATGTTATCGCCATGAAAACATATAGCACATGTCCTCATTTAGAAAAGGTTTAGTATGCAAAAGTGATATTTGTGGACATTTAACTTTTGTCTACTGAAAGCTCATAACACTAAACAGGAACCAGTGGACATAGGAACCAATTTCATTCAAATGATCATCTCGATTTGTGTAGTACCAACCAATATATAACATATATATAGTATATCATGTTCGCATAATTCCCTGATTTGAAATAGGAATTCAAAAGTTTAAAATGCTATTTTCTCGAAACAAGATAAATGGAAATGTAACGCATACTCAGCCATCGATATAATGGGTTTTAATTTTGTTTTAAATCCTATATAATACTAGCGATATAAAAACATCCCCGTCGAATGATTATACCACTATCTGCCACACTGCGATGATTTATCAAGTTAGTCGATGAGTGCAAGATAATTGGAAATAATTGTTTTTCTCACAGGCCATTTAGAATTCAAAATATAGTTGTCGGCTGCAGGTTGTATAAAAAAAATCGAATTCTTAATGATTCTTATTTGTCCCTAGTAACCAAAACAACAAGACGGTAACTAACGTAAACATGTAGGCTAATGAAATATATATAGGCTAATATTTTATATTTAGTCAGGTTTTATATCTATTATTTATAATACCCATTTAAGATGTTAAATTATTGCAATCGATTATGTTATAATGACACTTATACATCTGACAAACACTATTTAATTTAACTTGAGTTAATGGCAATATGAATAGTGATCGTTTGTATGTAACTATATGTGTGCAACGAAAATCGTTTCATACTGCTTAGCTATTGTTAACAATGATAATACCTGGAGTGATGTCGCCATTAAATTTTCATATTACCATAATGGGTTTGTGGAAATGGTAACTAACAAACATTTAAAATGGCTGACATATAACTGAGATATGGATGAATGGAATGAGATTTTATCATCCTACCTTTCTGTACCAACCGGGTTAATTAAGACGAGTAACCCAGATATTACACGAAGGGTTTTTCGGTATCTAAAATGGCCGAGATATATCTAAAAAAAACAATGTTAGGAGAAGTGCGCATCTATATATAACGGAAAATTTTAGGAAGAACCCTTTTTCATATTACATAATGAACGCATTGAATTTAATAAGACAATTTGGATATTGCTATGAAACAGATCACTTTAAAGGAGCCAATTCTTTAACTCGATATCATCCACAGTTTTCGACATTGCAAATACGACTTAATGGTCAATTTAAATCAACAGCGGTTTGTTATGCCAGAATGCTTCCGAGCGCTAGTTTTATGAAGCGACTCGGTGAACGAGGCTAAACATCCCATGTAGGAGGATACTACCGGTATAGACTGGAATAACCAAACACCAGAGACTGTCATTTAATTCAGACTCTCCGCGTATTTCGCCGAACATAACTGATTAGAAATTACAGTAAAAACAGAAACGATTGAATGTAAATCAGTTTATATACATGTACATTCAAATTGTATTATTATGCGTTGCGACCCATTTGTGTCCATTTCTAGGTGCCAAAGAAAAGTGATTTAGCTCCTTTAATCATGACGTTTTTTGTTCATTTCAGGTTAAGGATTTGACATGGTTTTCATTATAGTGTATAATACCATGTGAAAGGTTTACACACATTAAGAGGTTTTCTATGTAAAGTGCATAAGATACAGCGAGGCCAATGGGGTAAAGTAAGGAGATGAAAGATGAAATTCAAACAAAGATGCCTCATTAGTTACTTTGGTAAGTTAAGATTACGTTTTACTATCATATGTATATGGCATCGAGAGACTATTATATAATAGTGGACGCAGACTTTAAAATATAAAAGTAAAAGAGAACTCCGTAGATAAGTAAGACGTTTACCTGTAGAACTACCGAATCGTCGTCTTTGACTTCCAAAGTTGTGCTTTTCCGTGACCAAATACATCAGGTTCAGTTGAACTTTATTCTTTTTAAGGGCAATTGTTAGTCACAAATCTCACCCGATTTCAAGAATAGTATCTGGCTTTGATATGGCTATTATGACAGTCGGGTGAGTTCTGTCGAATCCAGCCCCGCCCTCTGTATTAAGGATGTCAACGCACCTAATTGTTTTACGTTAGAGACTGACCAAAGTACTAATGGACATGTCACCATGTCTTGCAAATTAACAGGGTCTATTACCTAATTTAGGCAACTAGATAATTCCATCTATGTTAGTTCAGTTACATAAACAAGTGTTACATTATCAATTCTCCAAGACACAACTCTATATTAACTCCATATAATACGTTTATTCTTCTAGACATATACTGTACAAAACTCCTTCAGTTAATGACTAATTACTTAGCTTGTATTTGGGCATCCTGGTCCTAGTTCTGTTCTCTGGCCTTGATTCGGGACCTGGTCCCAACAAACCCATGTTGTCGGAGTTCTGGTCTTAATGAACCCTTAACTGACGACTATCGTTGTTGTTGTTCTCTGTGTTTAACGCCCGTTTCCACAGAAAGGTGATATCGCAGACAAGTCTTATTTTTCATTTTTATTATCTTAGGTCACGCACAGGGGTCTTCCTATGGGAAGAAAACGGAGTAATCGGAGTAAACCCACGAGGTTGAAAAGGCGCCCCTATCTCCAAGCCACATACGCTCACACCAGGGATGGAAACCAAAACCGCAAGCCAGAGGTGACCGGCCAGCTAGTGGTCAATGCGCTGCACTTTAGACCACTAGGCCACCCAAACCCCCTATCGCAATGATCCCTTATTTATTTGGTAGATGTCAAACCCCAAACCCACGCCCACACAGTGTGGCCTAATTGGGTATTATTCAGTCGAGGATGGACTAATGCTCCGATTAGCTAGAAAGCGTTAGCCAATCAGCTAATCAGGTGTTGACGTCCGGACTACAATGTCAAACGATTACACAGCTGGGCGGTTGCATAAGGGCAGATTAGCTTTCTGTACAAGTCAACGGACATTACATAATACTATCTGGTATTGAGAGAGAGCGAGAGAGAGAGAGAGAGAGGGGGGGTAACGTCCACTCGACACAAACCAGGTCATTTCGGGACTAACATATGGGTCAATTGTATTTCAATAATTCGCATGCACGTAGGGGTCTTTAGCAGTGGGAAGAAACCGGGGGATCCGAAGAAAACCCACGAGGTTGGACAGGCGACCCGACTCCTTGCCACGTACAACCGGGAAATCGAAACCACGCCAGTTGACTCAATGACAGGCCTTATCATAGAACGCGTACGCGCTAACCATTAGGCCATTTGGGACGTTGGAACTAAAGTATATCAGGAAAGTTATTTATTTCCACACATGTGCATACTGCAATGTAATGAATAAACCCTGTGGTTTCGAATATTCTCCCCGTAAAGATATGCACTCCATAATAAATATTTGAGAGTTGGAAAATCAAAAGAATGTAAGAGACGAAAATGGAAAGTAAACCGTGATGCCAGACACGAATGTGAGATTTCTGTGCAATTCTGGTAATCTAATGTCGAATGATAGTTTTGGAGAACACTTGTCGAAGCACACCAATGACTTCTATGTCGTCTGTGTGTAGACGGACAACGCTTCAATTCTACTTATATGTTCAGCAAATAGAAAGAAGGACGTGAGCTAATTGCTGGTATCTGATAAATTCCGATATGACTTGTTTCAAATATGTAACAATGGCCAAGTATTGATGTCTACCTCCTAAGATAAGTGTGCGTCTTGTTTCCCATTTAGTTAATCTAGCTCTATAACGTAATTATACAAGTTAAATAATGTACGATATATAAATTACGACATTTTAACAGAGGTCTGACGATATGATTAATATTGTTTGATGTATCTATATGCAGCCACAGTGGCTCAGTGAGTAGAATCCCTAACCTGGGGGTCTCGCGTTCGATCCCGGTGGTGGCCGAGATATTTCATCGGGATTTTCCCGTCGTGTTTCCCCCGTCGTGCAGGACAGAGGGCCTGGCAAGGGACAGTGTATACTCGTTCGAATGGGACAACAAACCGCTGTCTCATGTACACATTGGCGTACACTAAAACTAAAACTCGACAGTTTGATTAATAAAAGTAGGCCGCATGTTCGTCTTCATTAGCCCAATCGGAGCAGAACAGTTGGGCGGTCAAGCAGATAAATTTGGTCGAGTTGTCTCCATTACAATAATCGTACATAATCCTTTGATAATGCTCTGCCAACCCCTTACCCCCACCTCCACACCATACAAATGAATATAATGGGATAATATAAATAACCAATTAGTTATAATAATGTAAAATTATATTATAAACATATATATATTTGTAGTTTGGTTTTGGACTCTTCTAGTGAGTGAAATGGTGGTAGCTGTAAACGGTAAGATTTTATTTTCTTTCATTTAACCGTTATTATAGAAATATGATTTTATTACACGTAAGACATTACATTACACATCACATTTGATATAGCCACATTACTGCCATGCATTCAAAAAGTACATTTCAAACAGTAACAAATGCTTTATGGACAAAAATATGTTTTGAGCACCTTTTTAAAATCCGTTACTGTCTGACATTGTATAACACTTTCTGGAAGGGTGTTCCAGAGTCGCGGTCCTAACACACTGAAAAGTCATTCTGCAAATGTTTTATATTTAGTCTTTGGTATTGATAACACGTTTTGTGATGACGATCTTGTATTGTATGATAAAGTTTGGGATTGTAAAAATGTAAAAAGGCAGGCAGACAGGGGCAAGGTTATGGAGAAACTTAAACACTAGTACAAGTAGTCTGAATTGGCATCGGACTTCAATTGGCAATATATCAAGTTCTTTCAGAGCGGCACTAGAGCTATAACTAAAACCAAGAATTAATTTTGCAGTAAAATATTAAATTCTTTGGAGAGGTTGGAGAGTAGATAACTGCGGGCAGATCACAAAGCAGACATTTTCCATAATCCATATGGGAAATGGTAATTTCGCGAAAGAAACGGTCTCAATTTCCGTAAGTTGAACATTGCCGAAGCTACAGAACGAGTCTTTCGGGCAATATGATATTTTCGTCCAAATGCATTCCCAGAAATTTAACACATTATGACGACTCAACTACAGAAAGCCCAACTCTTAATTCTTGGATGGTAGACTCCTGGAGATGACGCCTTCCGCCGAATTTGATAACCCACGTTTCGTCGTCGTTTATCTTTAGTTGATTGTGTAACATCCAGATTCTTGACTCTAATTATCGGAAAGCAATACGAGATTCTGCAACCAAATCTCCAGCTTTAAAATGTCATACACGCTTTGATCATACTGCCAACTAATTTTTGATTGTGTCGGACGCAGGATGCTAGTGTACTGCTATAGCAGGTATAGTAGTCCGGGCCATTGACGCTACCTTGTGGCACAAATAATTTACTTGTTTCACATCGGAAAAGACATCGTTAACCTTTACACGAAAACTCCTGTTTTGTAAATATGACAACATCCACTCCTTTGTAATTCCTGTAACAGCAGAACAACTTGACATTATAGTAAACAAAAGGTCGTGGTGCACGGTGACGAAGGCGTCAACATCAACTCTTAATGTACAATTTTTCCAAGCTTGGCATAAATATAAACATTGTATTGTCTCTACACGCTCTTATTTTTCGGGGTGAGGATCCTTAACTTGAGAATGGGGTCGGGGTGGGGTGGGAATTTAACTTGAGAACGGGAGGGGTGGGGCTTAACTTGAGAATGAGAATCGATATAAAGTATTTAGATATTTTAATTATAAACGAATCGATAATAAAACTCGTGTAGCTACAAAGACAGAGATCCGTGTATTTTTTCGGGGTGGGGGGATTTGAATATGAGAATCAGTATTAGGTATTTATGTATGTAAAATCTTTATAGTTCGATAAAACCCGTGTAGCTACGTACAAGATCAGGCACCCGTTACTTTTTAATTGTTCAAAGAGCAATACTTTATACATTTCGTATATTCTATAAGAAAAAATTCTTTTGACATTAAAGGTTACGAAAGAAAGATAGATAGAAACACCCCGTGTGTATAAATCTTCTTACTAATCTGCTTCTTTCTATGTGAGAAAACTCACACTCTACATATTGTAATTGATGATCTTGATAAATATTCTTTGGGTTTCTGCATTTAACACTTGTGAAATCCTTGATCTGACGCTCCCATCACTTATCCACGTCAAAAGAGGGAGAAAAACTCGTTGGCAATAACGCCCGGTGATCACGACATTAAGGTTTCTACGTCTTCGCCTGTCTTAAGTGGGATTAGATGCGTTCATTTTAGCTATTTCGACATGCCAACCTTTTAATCTCGTTATTTTATTTAAAACGTATTCAATCTGTATTTTGGCAGTGTGGATATATTGAGTTAAGCGATACATCGACTTTCCATTTCCTGTCACCACAATCCACAGCCAATCAAAAGAAAAAATGCCAAAAATGGCGCTGGATTAAGTCTGGTGACTTTTTATTGATTTCAAACGACAAGGGTTGAAACTCTTTAAAAACCTGAAATTAAAAAAAAGACTTTTTGTTGAATACTGACTGACATTAGAAAGTAACTGCATGATATTAAAGTGGAGATTCTGTAAATATCTCCCTCGCCAGGGTTATCAACTCTTTTCTTGGTCACTGGCTGGATGTAGTATGGTCAATAATGAATTTCGGATCAAATGCAGTATCGGCGTGATCGTTTATTCCAGAATGCTAACTCACAATATTTACGCAGTTGAACTAAACTCCTACATCCGTTTGGTTATGTCAGAAAATGGTAGATTGATATATAAGCTGCAAAAAAAGAGACACAACTAGTGATTGTTTTGAAAAGCATATATTAAAATCATAGTTTTCCACTCCTCCGATAGTTTGATATACATCAGCTGTTACAAACCGGAAGTTGACTCTACTGAGAGAGGCAAAAAATAGGCCTGATGGAGGACTGCCTTATTCTTACCATATATTTGACATTCTGAAGGCGAAATATTACAACAACTAATCATTATTGTGGATTGATCTATTTTTCTTGGTTTAGTAATTATATAGATTTTATCAATCCCCATGAGTTATATATAAAATATAAAATTGCAAGAAAAATTGAATTTCAGACATAGGTGCATAGGCGATGTATTGTGTATTATCACGGAATAATTCACGGTTAAGTGATTATATTGATCTTATCTATATCTATTCCCATGGGTTAGAGACAAAAGATATCACCAAAAACGAAAAACTTAGCATCTTTTTGGTTTTATTTGCTAATATCATCCAAATTGGAAAGTTAATAGGAACTAGACGATAAGCCGGGCGATTTTGATATTTCTAATTTTATCCCCCGTCCATGTCTAGTAATATACCCCAATAACCAACTTACGGGGTGTAATTTATTCAGTTAAATCGCTGTTAGAATGTGCCCTATTTATGAAGACTTTCTTACTAAAGATACATTATGGGAGATAAGATAAAGAGATGGCAGTTCTCGCTATAATAGTTAAAAACTAGATAGTATAAAGGTAATTTGCTGAAAATTTCAGTCAAATTGATCCACTATGAACCGAGAAAGAAGCGGGTGAAAATTTTGCATAGTCTCTGTCATCATTACTAAAATCATTAATATAAACAGCATAGTCTCGATTATCCACTTTTTTTGATTTAATTATCAATGGCCGTTAGCGCATATAGGAATCTAATCCAGCCAACATCGAAGGCTAGCCTTGACATCGAGAGTTTATTATGGTCTGGATAAGTTAATTAATGTCTACTTGATAATTTAGATAACATTTCAGGCCTAAAGAAAGACTTGTAATAAGCAGATTTTGCTCTTGCATAATGCATGTTTAAGAGAGCTAAAATTGGTAAGGTAGATATATTTGACACCTTAACCTTAACTGATAACTGCAGTCACAAAAGGGAGGTTGGTGGTGAAGTTATCTATAAAGTCTGTCATTGCGTAAAATGCCATGGTTTCAATCCTAAAATTGTCCATGAAAAGGGGTAGGGACTTTTCGGCCCCTTTATTTTTTTTAGAAAGAGGACGTTTCGGCCAGATTTATTTGTTTGTTTTCTCCTACAGATCTTTTCTTTGCGGTGTATTTTTTGTTTGGGGGGTGGGGTGGGGGGTTGTTTCTTACTGTGACAAATATATATATTTTTTTTAAAATAAGTCTGAACTCGTTGTACATGTTTGCAAGTCCGAATGACTGGAAGTATCTCCAAGTTGATTGAGCGTTCAAAGTCTATTATAACAGTTGCGGGTCACAACCATGCTTCTCTAACAAACAAAACATCAATACATAAGTTGTCTGGGACTTTCTTTGTAAAAGTACTTACACTAATGGAACAAAAAAAACCTGATATACGACCCTGGATGACATAAAACTGCTTTAAACACATTTTTGTAAAATTGGCCGAAACGTCCCAGGCCGAAATGTCCACTGGTCGAAATGGTCTAGGCCGAAATATCCTGAACCGAAATGTCCACTGGCCGAAATGTCCGTCCGCGGTATAATATATCTGTCTTTTATTACCATTATCATTCTCCCGTCAAAAGGCAACACCTAGTGACTCATGTTTTTCTTATTTTGAGAAAAAAAAGAAAAAGTAATGAATGAATATTAAACTCCAGCTTATCCATTGATTTGACTATTGAGTTACTGGGTTTTTCTGTGGCATACTAGGCAAATGAAGGAAGTTGCTAGGTTGTGGCATGGGTGTAACTGCTAACTCAATTTTGATTAAAAAAAAAAAAAAAAAAAAAAATGAGTTACGGGGTGTTGCCTTTTGAAGGGAGCATTGGTGTTTCTGTATATTCCATAGTATGACAGTGGCCGATGGCGCTTTAGGCAGGGCATGCTTACTCCTTTTTCAAAACATCTGGTATAGTACTATGTCCACTTATATTTCCAAAAGCGATAAATATTTCTAAAATTATACGTATTATACTGTAACACAAAGTGATGTAATATTAGTCCACATTAAGCCGATTAATTTGTAATAACACAGTATCTAGTTCTTGTCTCTAAAAATTCCAACGGCCTGCCACAATCAATATTTCGGGTGACACAGGTGTTAACTAAGCGATCAATTATTGGAATTCCTGGGAAAGAAGAAAATAGCTCCGAAAGTATCACTGGATAATTTCTTTACATAAAAGAACTGCATCGAGACCTTTGAGGCTTTCCGTCGTCAGTTTTAATTTGTGCGGAAGAGTTGCGACCTTTTTTTGTTTGGCACAACGAAACATTTCTAAATTTAGAATATCGACATTTCAATCCTTAGGCATGTGGTCTCCAAAAATGTCTTAACTTAAAATGAGGAATAAATTTCTAAAGCATAATATTGATTACCATTCGAGATATTGTATACAGGTTTATTGTCAATTGATTTTTGGGTACAGGAATATGGGCATTCCAAGTCTTTTGAGTAGCATATTGGACAACTTTTTTTTATTAAGATTAAGAAAGTCAAAATAGAACGGTTTCTTTAAATAAAATTATCTACCTTAATGATTAAGTTGAACCAATTTGGTAACATTAAGACCTTCCTGGAAGTTGAAGTTCACGTTAAAATTAATTGTAATTTTAAGGCAAGCCCAACTTTATAAACTTTACTTTGTAATTATTTTATAACTTTAATAGCAAAGAGACACTGTCTGGTTCCACAGAAAACCTGGTTCTTTCGTACATCATGCCCTGACACAGATCATAAACATTTCAAAATAAGAACCACTGGATGATTTTGTACATGGCTTTCAATTTTGGATGCCCCACATTAGTTGTAATTGTTTTATTCAAAGCCAAATGCTTTACGGGGGTGGGGACGTAAGGTTAGCGCGCGCGCTGCATCATAAGGTCTGTCATCGTGTCAACTGACTTGGTTTCAATTCCCCGGTTGTACGTAACAAGGGTAAGGTCGCCTATCCAACCTTGTGGGTTTTCTCCGAGTCCCCCGGTTTCCTCCCACTGCGAAGGACCCATAGTATTTTTTTCACACACATAAAATTTAATTATAATTATTTTACACTTTTAAATTGTTTGATCTCAGTTTAAATACTGAAAGTCTTACAAAATAACACCGTTTAATATATTTTTGTGTCATCGATTTATAAACAGAGAACTTCACAACACAGTGAAATGCATCTTCTGTAGTGTCATCACTATCACAAAGTAAACATATCTGTTGACAAAGGCTTTCCAAGATAATATTGTTAACCAATATTACGATACAGTTCACATTTCCTATAATGGTGTGATAATCTGCCAATTAATGTTTCTTAAATTAACCACTTTAAGATCAACTGGCTAGTAAGTCGTTAACCTGTCATCACTTTTCATCCCGTTATTTTGAAGACGACGTTAATCTAATCTAATGTTTTTGTTGATTTATTATATTGTTTAATAATCCTTTATGCATTGTTCATCTATCGACGTGTCAGTTTTAATTACAACATTTACTTTTATCCTATTATCTGATTTTCCTTAAATATAACAAAATTGTACATTGATGGCAGTCATTAGATAGGGTCCCTTACTAAGTGCAGTAACAGGCCTGTCAGTACTGTATGACATATTATGTAATATGTATGTTCCGGTATATTAAAGAATTGAAGAATGATTGAATGCGGTGGAAGTGTTTGATGTGTTAAATTTTCTTGTTACCTATCTACATTGAAAATTTGCGTTCTTTCGACACACATGATTATAATTAATAATCATGTTGGTGGTGCTAAGGAAAATGAAAATTTCAATATTCTAAAGTAGCACAGGCTAATTTAACACGTTTCCGACCAAAAATCAAAGATATTTACCATTTTAAAGCATAGTATAAGAACAAAGGTTCTAATATCTCGACAAAGTTCATCTGATATAAGCTATTTTTCTGGGTATTTAGTAATTCACTATTTTATTTTTACTATTTTAGGTGCTGTCGTGATAGCCAGTTACGGGAAAGAATTTTTCTTGCCTTATTTGGTGCTGTGTAATAATGATGCTTACCTCCATATAGTGCCAACAACTCTCTATTCTACAAATGTTTTGTTAACCATTAAATTATTGGACAATCGGACTATTTATACTAATACTATCAACCAATCAGAAACACTGAATGTTAATTACTCCGCCTTAATGGATTTGAACGGAGGCCATTATAAAGGTACAATATTATATTATTTCTGAATTCCATGATCTCGTTAAACCTATTACCTATAATGATCTTGCTACAATTTTCTTTAACGCCTTTAACGCCTTCTTTAACGACTCTAACGGTATATAGTTACCAATTTGATTCAGACAAATACATTTCTTCATTGTTTCGTTTTTTAGATCAATCTCTAATAAGAACTTTGTGTGTGTTCAAAATATAGAATTATACCCTCCTTCCTTTGCTAAACCTTTTCGAAGCCTTTAATACACGAACTAATTATTTAATTATAGACTTCCCATCGTAATAATAATGCTTTCTGGTACTTGAAAAATCGGTAAATTGACACACGATAAAACAACTAGAATGCCAAGATGAGCAACCTAATTGTACTGTACTGTAAATACTTCCTTTTTAAATACCGTTACATTAAAGGGCGTATGGCTCAGAAGAAGACGAAATTGAGTCTAAAAGCACATACTCAATTCTATACATTCTTAAAATTATCATTTTGTCTTTTGGGAATCAATCATTACTAATTACTTCCGCCTTGCCCTGTAGCAAATGTTATTCTTCGTTCATTACATATGACTCCCGAAACCATAGAGTACACAACTCTTGTGCTGATTTTAAAATGTAAATATTATTAGGATCCTTTATTTTCACAGCAAGATAACAACATTGATTGAAATGGACAAATATTGAATTCTAATTCGTGTTTTTGATTTCGAATGTTATTTAAAATATTGAGTTAGAGGTTTGGCACCATTATACAAACAGATTGCTGGAATCTTGGTTGCCTACATTATGCGTTTCCCAGATAACCCTTTGAAATCTCTGACAGCTCCTTCTTCATACCAGGGACGTTTTGATGGTGTTTAGTCACCTGTTGCTTCAGCATTAAAAATCTCGACAGTCCATTTCTTTTATAAGAATCGCCATGTATTTCCAATATAAATGTGGAATAATTTGAATTAGGGTGTTCTTCCTCTCATGTTACTTGAAAAACACATAACCTAACCATGATTATACAAAATGTCCTCCAGACACGGCATGCTTAATATGATCTAAATAAATGTCCTAAAATAGAAGTGTGAATCTGTACGCGGTAGTTTCTTCAAATGCAATTATATTAATGTTTTGTTGGTTTTTACAGGATGGCAAATAATATCGTCTCAAGCAGTGTCTGTTTATTTAAAGAGATCGAAAGGAGATATAACAATTTTATTACCGATTGATGCTTTGGGCACAGACTACCTACTTCCAAGTGTGGCTACTGTTAGCAATGATAAATTTCGTGTTATTGTATATGCAGTTCAAAATAATACAACGATTAATGTGTCTGGAAATAGTTTTGATCGAAATACTGAAAACGAGACGCAGGGAAATAACGGTGAGAAGACTACACATGCATTAAACAGATTTCAAAGCCTGATTTTAGAGACGAATAATATGACGAAGTGTACCCTATCAGCAAATGGCACTATAGGAGCGTTAACATTACGTTTTAACGAATTAGAAGGTGGCGCTGTTTGTGACGTATTAGATTTAAAAACAATAGAAACAATCCCACTGTCTAGTTCGTTTGGAAAACATTTCTATTATCGTAAATTTGACCAGCAAGCCAATCTAACTTTATACATTACAGGTAAGAATGCTGTGTTTTATTCACTGTTTTGTTATGTGTAAAAACTAGATCATTTATGGACTAACTAATAGTTCAATTTAACGTCCACAAGCCACTAACATATTGTTCAATTTTAACGTCTACTAGGCTATGTCATTTTAGGACAGACATGGTACCGTGAAGTGAAATAAAGTTCAACATTTTCCGTTTCTGCTCCATCTGTATTTCAATAATTCGTGTGTATTCAGGAGTCTTTAGCACTGGAGGGAAACCTTGGACCAGAAGAAACCCCGCGGAGTTAGATCGGCGAACCGGTTCTTTATAACACAAGTCGGGGATTAAAACCACAATGCTTCTTTAATCGAATACATACCTTACGATCTAATTTTCAGATCATTGTTACTGCGTGTCTCACCAGAATAACGCCGTAGAAACATATCTTGACCATTTGCATGATACCTTGACTGCGTTACTGTGTATAAAGGAGCAACGACTGATGGCTAGTTTCAATCTGATTAAAATACAGATCTATATTTCGATTCGTTTTTTATACTTTCGATGGTCTATGAAGATCTGACCAGTTGTAGTGATAGGTCGCGTCAGAGGTTATACGAGCGGCTTTTGACTATATGACGTCAGATATTTGATTAACTAATCAGCATTGATGTTTCTAGTGGATTACCCACGGTTCCATGCAGCTCACGCCAAAAGCTCGCCGTAATAGACGGCTAATCTCTCACATCACCTAGAACACGTCAATGATAACAACTCTTCCAGATCATAGTGTAGTAAAGACAAGCAAACGACATTTTGTACTATAAAAAACGAAACGAAATAGGATATGTGTTTTAATCAGATTGGGCTAGTTTTCGAGGTCAGATTAAGTTACTTCGTGGCAAAGTGAGCCAACTAGCTGCGATGTTAGAAAATGACAAAGAACTGCATAAATCACAGTTCTAATTATTACGTAAAAGGTCTCACTCTAAGTCAGTGGTTATTATCAACAAATACCTTTAAAAAACATTGTTCAATAATACGACTTAACGGTGTAGTTATTTTTAGAAAAATAATAGGTATATTTAAACGTAAGCCAAAAAGAATTAACACTTCGCGGGATACATTGTAATTATCATGTTTACATGTTTCAGTTATTTTATCTTTTACAACGTATGTAGTCAATGGCTTGTGGCATTTCTACAGAAGACTATCATTAACTATTATTCTGTGACTTATCGGAATGGCGGGCGGCCAATTCTATGTTGCTACTTTTAAAAAAAACCGACAAATTAACTAGAGACTTGTATCTTAATCAGAAGAGAAACCAATATTTTATGTATTTCCTTATTTTAATTGCAACTGCTCTACTATCTGGAAATCAAAAGACGATTGGTTATTATATAGAACCCAGATAGGCTAATTGGAACATTGTGGTTTTAATTTAACAATCAAAATTTATAAGAATGTTGTGTAAAGTTATTAATATACATTGACTAGACGTTAAGTAGATATACTCTGCACGGAATTAATGATTGCTCCAGGTTCTAACATACGATTTATTTACTACCTGGTTATGTGTTTATTTGTTTTTATTGCGTGTACTATTTTAATTAGTCTCATGGCTACCTACTGGGTGGCGCTGAACGCTCTTTACGAAAGCCCTCTACTTACTTAGATGAGAATTTCATCTTTCTATATATAGAGACAGACATGATCTAACATTACAGAACAAACTATTTTTTTTAGCAGACAATCTGTCTGTCCGTGTGAATTGTGTAGTCTCCGTTTCGATCTTTTTAGATGAATATATGATTTATTTTTATATATAAACTTTAATCTATTCTATTGAGATAGAACAGTCCTCTCTTGAATTAACTTTAATCAACCCGTTAGGTAACGGATAATTAAACTGACTTTCCAGCAACAGAAATTTAACGAACCCTTAACAAACGTCATGTTAGCAAGACAACGATCCGTTAGAGTTTAACGGATCGTTATAACTTAGTTTTGAGCAACCGACCCCTGGTCCACAAGTGTTAGCCGTCTTGTTGTGATTGTTCTTCACCTGTGTGTGTGTGGGGGGGGGGGGACTCCAAGATAGGGGCGTTGACGCCATGTTGGTTTCTTGTTCCTGTTCCACACAGCACTATGTTACTTGTTTGGTTTTATAGGGAACTTTATGTACCCTACCCCCGCCCCCAACCACACACACACCCTCCACCCTCCCACACCACATTGTCCCTCAAACTTGCTTACAGAAAATTGTCGACATTACCGGCTTCATCTGAACAGTGACATTACTTACGGACACAAAATATTGACAGTGAAGAATTAGCTAGAAACAAATTAACGCACCAGATGTAATGAGATCGACACTTGGGATCTATCACACAAATTATATACATCACATCATTTAAGGAATATACATAATTTACCATAAATATTTTAAAGATAAAACGACGACGGCAGTATTCTAAATTTCAGATATACATCTTGTGTATAGAAATGTCTTTTAATCAGCATCTATTAACAATCGAATTCAAATTTAAATGAGGATATTAAATATGTTTACGGCTCACAGAAGTAGTTGTAAGAAACTCATTGACATGCAAATTAATGGACATGCTTAAGCTTGAAATATATTTATTAAACTAGCAAATTAGAATTTTAGATTCAAATCGAGAAAAAATGGGACTGTCTATCATTGCAACTTAGAAATATATAGACTGAATTAAAAAAAAAACCACAGGATAACATTAATTCTATACATGCTGTATTGAGATGCGATTGGATATTTTATAACTGGTTAAGTACGTCATTATGGCAAGTACGCTATTTCTGTGGGTCTGTTTATCACGTAAAAAAATTAAATACTTTCTTAAAATTAATTAAAACATTGTTAAGCATTTTATTTTTATTTCGTGGAGTAATTTTACTGTCTATGTATTCGGTTGTTATTTATAATTTATTTGTCTGAAACACAGATTGTCGGCGAGAGGAAATAATCATAGTTCTGGGTTATCTGGATGCGCAGGATTGTAAACTTGATCAGAAATCGTCATTGTGAGGATGTCAGTATCTACAAGTCATGCGGTGCTATATTTGAAACAAAAATTGAATCACGATTTTAAAGGTCTTACATTATGTACGTCGAGAAGAAATTGATTATCCCAACCATATGTAATTCTTAATATTTAAAAATAAGCCTTTTATTTCTCAGACCATAGGCCATCTCATCTTACTAAAACGTATTGGTATCAACATTGTTCAGATCGATCAATTCCAACTAAGGTTTTGACCATTAAAACCAATGTTTTTGGCCACCTCTACGTTTACATATAGCCATGTACTTTTGTTTATTGATCTGTGAGTATTATGTACACAAGGTCTTCATATAGTCAACCATGTATCCAGAAACAGAAGAGTATAATACCAGTGTAGTATTTAATTAGTCTCAACTATTGGTAATTTGCTATACGTCTGTGTTGCAGACGACGGGTAAGGTGTACATCTTGATTAACGTCAAGTCGCGGGATTGACGTCAACAATTGAGAGAAGCTTGGTTATTCGACTAAATTGGGAGCCCCAAATCACCTAGAAAACAATTAAAGGGGTATATTTATCGTCAGCATCAGGAATCGCACTTCTGATGCCTTCATATAACATTATAGCTTGATACTCTTGTAAATCCAATCAAATTTTATCCATTGAATATTTCTCAAATTAATGTATATTGTACTTTTCTGTTTACAGGTGAAGAAGATGGAGAGGTTCTTGTGAAAACAGACCAAACAACGTTTCAAGTTAATTTAACACTCAACGAAACTGTGAGTTTGGAATTCCCAACAGCAAAATATGTGACTTTAATGGCATCGATTCCAATCCAAGTTTACGCAACAACTGTCATAGTTATTACAGAAACGCAAGAATATATTTTAAACGACTTTTTCATACCATGCCAAGAGCAATATGTGCGATGTACCATGACGTCATCATGTACAGAGTTGTGTCCCCTGGTTTTAAATGGAGCATCTCCATTCAATTCAACTGACCCCAATTCATTTGAACAATTTTCATTTTCGGATGCAACCTTGTCTCCGTGGTTCAATGTTAGCTCTGAAATTATATCCCATTATTTATATAACAATGGCATCATAATGAAAATATGGACGAACTCCTCATTTATATACTTTATGTGTGAAATTAATACCGGAAGAGTCTTCCCCTTAGGTATGAGACTAAGCAAACTCTATCGCGCATGTGTACCGGATATTGTATCTAAAGGCGGGCAGGGAGACGGTATAGATAATGACTGTGATGGACAAATTGATGAAGAAAATATCAATATGGAGGATGATGATGGTGATTCGCGGATTGATGAAGATACGAATTTTATTTGCACTCTAGATGATATTACTCTAGTTAAAACTTTACCAACTGTGGCTAAAAAGAAACGAGCGCCTACTTTATTAGACATTGCGATAGATGAACAAGACTCGACAATGCCGTTAATTGCAGTTGTTTTATCTCTTACTGTGGCCATATTCGCCGTTTTCGCCGTCATCTCCATATTTATGTTCTTAGAATTGTTATCCAGGCGAAAACAAATTAGAAACACTAAAATTCGACCGTTCGTGTCTTGATGGTGGAGTGTGTCAGTGAAAATTGTTCTGGTTTATAACTACTTATTTGCTCAATTGACTATGCGTGTGATTATCAGTTTCCATCTATATCAGATTAATTTCCTATTGAAGCCAGTCAATTTGTGAAATAAATAGATTCACATAACAAGCATTGATTTACTTAGTTGAGATTTATCACATTACAACTTTTATTATTTTTCCATGACATGACATTTGAACATATCTTTTTCACTGAAAATTGCATTTGAAATTGGAGTGTTGCACGCAAGGTAAATTTTGAACTCTTTTTAGATTTCGTGTTGTGTGGATTTTTTTTTATATTGACTCTACAGCACCGGAACATTGGATATAACAAAAAATGCTGAATCAATTTTATGTTAAGATAGTATAGCACACATATTTTTCCTTCTGAGATAACGGTAAAATATTAGAACGTTAATTACGTTTTAGTCTCCTATTTGAGTAAATTCGATATCTCGGTGAGTGTAGTGCGGTTCATAACAGGACAACACGGCCACGTTAGTGGTGGGTGCGATATTTTATAGGCACATTATCTCTTATTAGTTACAATAGGTGAATGTCCTTATTTTGTAAGAAGGGTTGGATGACCGAGTGATTAGCGCGTGTGCGTTGTATCATAAGGTTTGTCTTTGAGTCAACTGGCGTGGTTCCGATTCCCCGGTTGTACGTGACAAGGAGTATAGGGTCGCCTGTCCAACCTCGTGGGTTTTCTCCGGGTCCTCCTGTTTCCGCCCTAATTTTGCTCAGAAGACCAATTATGGACAATAATAAGATTGGGGCTTTATATAAATTAACACTTTGGACGTCTTTACTAAACCGCTTAACGGAAACTATATCGGTTTTACACAATAAATTTACTGAAACCAACCCACGTAGTCACTAATTCTATACTGTCAACGTTAAAGGCGTTGTGACAAAATGTGTGACCTGACAACCAAAGTAATACATTTACGTTCCAGGAATACATTTACAGTGTCTAGTTGTTCGGATGGAAAAACCCTAGGCCCCGTGTACGTTAAAGAACCCTTGACAGTTGAAATTAAAAATTAAAAGTAGGCCCAAGTGCAAAATTTCTCCCATAGCACACTGTATGGCCGTCTTCATTAGCCCGAATGGAGCAGAAAAGTAGGACTTTGAACCGAATTTCATTTTACGTGTAGTTATGCAGTTCTAGTATACTAGTATTTTATTTATTATAAAGACTGGTCATACTTTATAATCCCGATTATACGCTGCTAAAAGTAGTCCATCAATAGTTAATGTTTTTAATAATGTTTCGTATACCCCATGTACATATTGTAAACTAGACTGAATTCAACTAAGAGATTTATTTGAGCTTCCATTTTAAAGGGGATTAACTCGGTTATATACATGTACATATTGTGCCATGATTTTGTATGATATAATGTCTTGTACATAGTGTTTCATTATAATGTTTAAAGAGGTTCTGTTAGGATTTGTAGACGGCATGGTTTAATACACCTGAACACATTTATAATGGCCGGGATCTACCCCAACAACACCCCCACATATAAGTAAGAAGGAGCAAACCATAATGGCCGATTTTATTTGTTATAGTTATAGCCTTATCTTAAGGCTACCATTTATATCGAATATCAAAATCACATTAAAAATGTAAGTAAATCAGTAAATGGGAGTTTCTGGATCGGCATTCCTTATTGTTTAAAAGCTTTGGCAGTGATAATTTATAAAACTAATAAAGACAGACGCCAGATTTTTTTATGTCCAGTCGATATCACACCTCGCATGCTTCCATTGTGTAATGGTATAATCTCATATAAACAAACATTACTGGCTTTAAAATGACTGTCAACGCGCGGTTGGACCAGTCGGTGCAGAAAAGTAGAACGTTAATAAACCCTATAGTAACCATAAACATTTACTTAAATTGTGTTATAAAGATTGATGGGTTGGGTTTTTATTGTCGTCCTCCAGTCTGCATTCCCTTCCTTGTAAACGATACGTTACATTTCTTGGCTTTGTTTTTTTTTTAAAAAAAAAGCCTTTATGGCCTTGGCCTTGTAGTCATAAACCCTTGGCAATTCAAAATCACGCATCTATTAAAAATCGAAGAATTGTTGCCTCGGAGCATCGAAAATAACCTCATGTAAATAAAACAAACCCTTTGTTTTTAAAGTTGATATCTATTTGCAGCATTTTCAAACTCTGGTAAATACTCTACTTGTCACAGTTTTTAATATATATTTTCTTAACTTGCTTATATTGTCCAAATGTAGCCACGGAACAGAATCATTTGAAGTTGGCGCCATGTTATCCCCAGGTCAGAGTACCATAGGAGAATGTACATGTATTTCAAAACGTTAAATCATTACTTTTGTGACAGGCATTTACACATAGCCCAAAGACTCAATTGCTGGTGACCGTATGTTTCGTTTCTTGGCAACCTACATTTAATTTGATTTGTAAAATATTTAATTGTGTACATATTGAATAAACATTTTTGGTTCTTTCACATGGTGTTTGGTTTCATGTCTTAGAATTTGCAATGTTCATTCATATAATCCAATTAGGAATGAATGACCAACTGAAGATGGAAGGCAATATACAACCAATTGTGCACCTGATTCAACAGCAAATTAAATATCAGTGTGTTATAAAACTACTTCAAATCATTCATTTATGGAAACTAATTTTCAGTGAACGTTGCTGCACAATTTCCCATGGCCATTACAAGGTAACCCGCCTTTCCTTTAAACACATAAAATCCAAGTAAATGATTATAATGGGGAAGTAGAAGAGGGTAGAAATAGGAAGACAACTACACATTAAACTACAAATTGCAGAATTAAATAACAGACCTGACTACAGATTACACGACACGCCATCTTATTTTACAAATAATTCATAGTATAGTCAGGCAACACGGTTTGGGGGGTCAAAAGTAAACTCTACATATGAAATCAATAGTAAATTTTGATATTCATAGTAAATCAATTTCGAAAAACTTTGACCCATACAACGCATTCAAAAGTTCAGTGAAAGGAACAGCAACTCTTCGAACTAAAATCACTGTCCTATAGGACTAGCCAAAACAATTCCAGCAAATTTGAGCAAGTTTAGAAAACAATCTCAAATATCCTGTGTGTAGGGAGTTTACAAGGGCAGTAACTATGCTTAAAATCGCTGCGCTACTTTAAATGTGGTAGGGTTTGAAAATTTGAAAAACAAAGTTCTCTCAAAGACTCTGACCTATAGAGTGTTTACAAGAATTGTGGATGGAATAATAGACGGACAGACGTTGTTGTCGACAATGGATAGTCAATTGATACCAATTTCTACAGAATTGCACACGACTATACAAATTTCCTTGACAGTCCAGAAGACATTACCCCTTACAAGTGATAACCCGGACGGGATTCAAAACCGGTACTTTCTGGTTGCCCAGTTACCTAACCACATTACCCGAATCAAGAGAGGACGTGTTTTGCTTTTACATGTTATAGCCTCTGGGTTTATATCTTTTTAAAACAACTCTAAAAAATATTATAGCTGAATACTTGAAATATACACTAAATCTTCACACTAAATTTAACATTTACTAAATCTTAAAATATACTAATACTTGATTTACAGGCGTTAAATGTTACATAAACAGGCTATTGTAATATGTTTAAAGTACAATACCCGTCTATCAAAAATGGTTGATTATCAGAAGCTAACGTTACCCCATCGGAACTTAAAATATCCAAAAATTAGTGAGAAGTGTTTTAGATCAGTACACATTCCAATATCGTCTCTGTAACTCTTTCACTGCAAACAAAAGGCAAATAAAATAAGTACGCTAAGGCAACTTTCGTTTCTGTATAATATAATATTATTGATTCCGGACTAGAACTGTTTTTAAATATCAAGAGAAATGTCTCTGACAACCTTTAAAATGAAACTCAATTACAGACCTATTTTTTCCTGTAAGCAAGATATAAAGGAAGACATGTAAGCTTCCTGAAATTATGTTACTTAATATGGCATCTTGTAAATTTCTAGATCCAATTATAGTTCTTAACAACAGCAATGCAATGTTTTATATATAAATGTAGGTTATTCTGAGACATTGGCGTAGGTGGCCAATCTGCCTGAATTTTCAGAATGAATGAATCATTAACTAAAACAAGTTCTCCACAAAGCGATGATGGTTGTTTATTTTTTAATTAATTACACAATTACACAACAATATAAATTGATAATATGTTAAGCAAAAAACAACTTAATGTTCCCCTTTCTCTGATGTTTGTGACGGAAAAACAGAAATACATTCAGAACATTTTCCGATCTTAGTTAGGACGATTTTATTTCTTATAGAACGATGTAGATAAATGGGATTTAACGTCTACTAGACATAAACTATGTAATTTCAGGAATGGAACAATTTTATTGCAATAATTCGCATCAAGGATGCAAGGGGTCGTTGGCAATGGGGGAAACCAAAGGAACCGGCGAAATTTCACGAGGCTGGACAAACGACGCTACTCTTTGTCAAGTACAAGTTTGGGATCGAAACCACGCTATTTGATTCAAAGACAGACCTTATGATCTAAAGCGCCCACCCACCCCCCAGTTTCTTAGATTGGGTGAGTACACTTGTTCATACCTTTCAGTCCGATTGATCTAACTTTGTGCTACAGTTAACTACAGTTAAACCGATGGCCTCAACACATCAATAAATAACGGATCCTGGAATTCAACAAAATAAACTGTTAATTTAACAGGAATCATTGCCAACTGATCTGCTTAATTCGGTCATATTAGATCAAAGGAAATATATTTCTGTTTGGAATGACTAACCGAGCGACGTCAAAATATCCGGTAAATCAGTCCAATTAAACCAATATGTTACTGATGATTTAAAGACTGAACAGATTTTCCAACATTTGGCTTTAGGCGGTGGACTGGCTAATATATAAATGACTAGGTGGTTTGAGGAGGAAAAGATTTTAGCTTGCACAACATTACAACAAAATCATAATCATTACAGTTGACAATCCATATTCTTGTTAAATTATACGTCTGAAAAATCCAATCCTTGATGCGGATTCAATATAGAAATATGGAAGTTAACGGAAAAAATCGGGAACTGGGCTCCGGTTTTACCTTTTTGGCGAAGCATATCTCAAGGTCAATTAAAATACTTTATGCAATAGTAGTTCTGTATTTCAATGGGAATAAACTTGACATTTTGGACTACAAATATATAATTCCACTGCATCTTTTAGAAACGTTGTACAAACATCAACCTAACATAGCAGTGCTTCTTGCAGCATCCGCTTTTGTAACATATTCTGGGAGTAACTTAGAAACAATTACCACAGTGATCATCATGGTAACTTATGTAAATGATTCGTAAGTATGATATACACGGAAATGGATTCCTGTATCAGTAAATTAATACAAAAATTACAAAAAGGCTGTTGTTACAATTCATTGCTCTTAAAGAGGCATTATGGGAGATTAGATAAAGAGTTGACAGTTCTTGCTATAATAGTTTAAATATAGATAACGTAAATAGAATATGCTGAAATTTAGTCAAATTTCTCCACTCTGAAAATATTAGCCTTTGATTTTAGGCTACCTTCGATCAATATTACTAAAGTCGGTACGATAAAAAACAAAGTCTCGATTATCCATTTTGATGTTTGATTATATTTCAAAAAATGTATTCCAATCCGCTACATATTGTAATCTAGCGATGGCATCGGGAGTTGATTATGGTCTGGATAAGTTAATTAATGTCTAATTAATAATTTAGATAACATTTCAGCCTAAAAAAAGACCTGCAATAGGCAGGTTTAGCTCTGGCATAATCATATTTTTAATAATTTTCTGTAGAAAGTATTTATCTCCTAAATTTAGACAATCTGATTAAAACACAGATCCTATTTCGTTTCGTTTTTATAGTTCAAAATTTCGTTTTACTTGTCTTTACTACACTAGGACCTGAAAGAGTTATCATTGACGTGTTCTGAATGGTGTGAGGGATTTGCCAATGAAACGGTCTGTTACGACGAGCTTTAGGCGTGTTTTGCAAGGAACTGTGGGTAATCCACTAGTAACATCAATGCTGAATGGTTAATCAAATGTCTGACGTCATAGGTCAAAAGCCGCTCGGATGACCTTTGACGTGACCTATCGCTACAACCGGTCAGATCTTCATGTAGTGTAGGCCACCGAAAGTATAAAATAAACAAAACGAAATATAGATCTGTATTTTAATGATATTGAAATTTAGATACTTCTCGATATAACTCACCTCCACACTAAGAGTGAATGTCCCCATCTCAGCGAGAGAGAGAGAGAGAGAGAGAGAGAGAAATGGGGAATCGAAACCACGCCAGTTGACTCAATGACAGACCTTATGGTGCCGCGCGCACATGCTAACTATTCGGCCATCCACCGCACCCCCATCTGAACTCTGTAATAGGGCATAGAGCAATAAGACAAATATGTCAGTTCCTCGGAATAACAGCCCTGTTGATCGGATCTATAACAAAACCCACAAGAATCAGAATGGGGTTTATTGTTTTTTGGGGTTTTTTTTTTTGCTAAATATTTTTAATTTGCATAATCCTAAAAGTATCAATTATCTTTCCTAATAATAGATTTCTATCTTGTCTAAATATGGTTACATATAACCACAAAGGAACCATCTAGCATAATTAGCTTTCTGCACCTTAGCTAAGAAGTTAAAGATACATTAAGTAAGACTGACATAAAGAGCTGGTCGTTCAAAAATAGATAATGCGAAATGAATATATTGAAAATTCTATTCAAATTACTTTCTTCTGTGCCAAGTTATCACTATTTGTCGTTTTGACAAGATGTGTGCATTAATGGCTTATTATCGTAACCACGGTAATGGTATATTCGAGTCTTATCCTCGCTTCTCAGTTTTAAATCAAATCATTAAATGGCTGAACCGTTCTAATCTAGTTAAAATCTAGAGCAATAATAATTTTTATAACATGTAAGGCCTAAAGAAAGACCTGCAATAGGTAACTTAAGCTCCTGAATAATGTATGTAAAGTTAACGAGGCAGTTAACAGAAAGGTATTACCGGTATTGAAAAATGGATTATGTAAGAGCTAAATCTGCATATTTACAGGCTGTTTTTTCTGGCTTTAAATGAATAAATTCTTATTTAGTCATTTATTCACATGACAAGCCCATAATCATCTCTTTAGACCATCGAACGGCTGAGATATTGAATGGATTAGAACATCCGTGCCATATAATAGTTTTACGTTAAAATGGAAAATCCAGATTTCGTTTATTATCGTAGCAATAGTACTTGACAATCAGGACTATTTACGCTATTTATTGTTAAAACTTCAAACTCTCATAACTTCGACCAGAATATATTTTCAATCATGTTTCATTATCTATTTTTGAACTAGCAAGATCGATCAACTATTATCTAATTCTTACATAATAAATCTTAAATATAGCCAAACAATGTAAATCTGGATCTATTTGAAAACATGAAATACGTCAGAATAATACAAATAAAGACATATGAGACATCTTGGAATACGTGCATTAAAAGCTATGATATTACTATAGTTTTATACTGTCTATTTATATGAGTGCTCTGAATTTATGCACGTCCATATTTTTGTATCCGTCCAATTTTTTTTGTACTTGTATTTAATACTTTGTATGATGTATACTGTCCACAAAGGACGTTTCGATGCAATAAAATTCTATTCTATTCTAGCTATAATTATTATACCTAAAGAGAAATTTTGCATGACAAGGGTCATCTTAATGTCATATTGCATTTTTATTAAAAATTGCCGTTTCTCATTCCCTTCAAACCATTTCTTGGTCGTTTAATAGGTATTTTACTTTGAAAGAGAGCAATAAATCTTTCAGTGCAATGTCACTTCAATGGAAATTCATTTTGTTCACTTCCTTAGGGGAATAATTCAGTACTTTTTATGGTTAGTTTTATGGTTTACCTAATAGATGGCAATCATAAATGCTACTAGAAAATTGAATGTTTCGTGATATGGTTCTTCTATTAACAATAAATTCACTGCCGAATGCGCCACTTTACTTCAGTGTAAAATGGTGCATAAAGATAATGAAAATAATTAATCTGTATGGAACAAAATTGTGAGTGGTCTCTCAAAACGTTACAAAAATGTCCTTTTTTAGAGCAGGCATACCATGTAGCAGGTTATTAATTCATCAGTAATATGGGTCATAACTTGTCTGAATGCAACTAATTACAGGGGGGAAATACGGCTTACTTGTTTTTACTACACTGGGATCTGGAAGAGTTTTTATTTTTATATAACCCGCGTTCTGGATGATGTGAGGGATTAGCTAATGAAACGATCTGTTACGGCGAGTTTTTGGCGTGAGGTGCATGGAACTGTGGGTAACCCACTAGAAACATCAACGTTGATTGGTTAATCAAATGTTTGACTCACATGGTCAAAAGCCGTTCGTATAACCCCTGCCGCGACCTTCCACTACAACCGGTCAGATCTTCACGTAGTAGAGACCATCGAAGGTATAAATAAAAGAAACGAAATATAGATCTGTATTCTAATCAGATTGATTGTATTCAGGGTGTTCGGGAGTTTAGTCTGGTCAATCCAACTAGGCATTTCGCCCTCTTTACAATAGAATATCAAACAGCACAGAATGCCCATTGCAATACAAAAAGACATTTCTTTCGATTTATATTGATTTATATTGTAACCCCAAATAGACCGAGACTGAATGGCGATAGAAAACGGAATTTAATTTTTAAGAGGGTTATTGTTCGTTCTGTACCAAATTTCATACTGTTGATGAAAGCGGAAACCAGACCCAAATTTAGCACCGATCGAATACTACCTCCCATGTTCGACCGATATTTTGTTTGCCGTTGACTAAACCTCATCCGATAACCGTTCTCACTGGAATCAAACGTCTGAACCGACCATTGTCATATTGAACCACACTACTCGATAATCAATAATATTCACCTAAGCAACTGAAATGGACTGGAAATATTGACTTCTTTATACTTCTGGTCCATTTTTTATAATTTACCCTCTATTTGTCTTTTAAAATGTTACAATTGAAATCTTCCGTATCGGGCACGATTGCCTTGTATATTATATATTTATTATTCTTTGGTAGAACTGCTCTAAAAATTAATTCTAGTGTGATTTAATCATGAAACCAAATATTAAAATTCCAACAAATATATAGGTGTGCTTAGTCAAATACTTTGCGATAGCTAATCCTTTTTTTATTCTTTGGGGGTGGGGCTGCAAAACCGTTTCTCAATAAAATCACTTTCTGGTTGAAGATTGTGTAGTTAATAATAAGGTGAATTCAATCAATTTATGATCTGAACAATAAGTCGTAGATATTATATTGGTATAGGTAGAAAGGTTACTATCTACATTAAGGCAGACATCATTTCATGGTATCAACAATCCAAACCCTAAATGGCGTTATTTATTATGACTTTTAGAACGAACCGATGACGATATGCGGGAATGTGCTTCAATCATTCTAATGTCTATTCTTTATGTTGAATATCTAAATGAAAAATCTTTACAGTGTTGTAAGTTGTGTGTTTATATCGTATAATTCACCTGTTTATTGCTTCAGCTAGACTGATGGAATATCTGATAATGTTACAATGTTCACCAAGGATCACCAACAACACCATT